CTTTTTTTTTCTGACTGTATTCCAGTTTCGTCTTGTTATATCCAGTATTAAGCAAATGTAAAAGCATTCCCGTTCAAAGACACGCATCGTTGACGATAATTTGTTATTTTAGAAGCATGGCATAGTTAACATTCTCTCACGCACTTCATATTTATATGTTTATGGCATAGCGAACATTGTAAACTCGCTCTATGTTTAAACTATAATGACACTAGAGACTCATACCCATATGGTTTGTCCAAATTTGACAAAGAAGACCTTTTGTTTCCCCCATTCTGCACAGTCTTTTCGATGATTTCTGATCCTAACTTGTGAGGCTCGTCATCAATCGACTGTAAATGGTAATGGTACTAGTGGTACCTTTTAGAATTACTTTGAACAGCTTCTAAAGCAGATATCATGTAACACAAAATATAATAATAAAGAATGCACGTTATTGAAAAATCTTTTACTTCAGAACGATGTCGTCAAATTTAAGGGCGAATACAGTAATTAACAATTTGATTAATTTTAGTCAATTCTCATCATGTAAACTTGCATGGATTTCTTATTCAGAAATCAGTGGCGTAGAATTAAGCCATATTGATACCACTTATTACTATTACGCTCTATGGCGTAGAAATAATATTTTGTTGACATTACTTGGGAATGATGAAACACATGTGAGAGAGATGTCCAGGATATACTCGCTTCCAACACACAAGTACGCTAATGACGATAATCAGTTTAGAAGATACAAACGCTGGCTTATTCATCGGAACGAAGAATGAAGGCAACTACTACATGGTCGCTAAGAGACAATTTTACCACTGCTATTTTCTATATGGATTCTGCTCCGAATGCGATGTACTTCGATGCAGTCCTGTGTGGTGCATTTGCGGCCATACACAATTATCCGATGGGTGGACGAGCAACAATTACCAACTCGATGATTTTATTAAGAAATCTCAACTACAAACAAACTCACCAGATGACGCCTATTTGGAATGGATTCCATTTGATTGTATTAATGTTGTTGATATATGCAGCATATACTTGAATGGTCTACCTACTTCTACTCATGTACCTGTTAAATTGATTTCACTCGAGATAACAGACGAGACACATGATTTATATTATGCCGAGGTAAATATTTACTTATACGTCATGTTTATTGAATAGTTTAAATAATCATTGACTTATTATTATGTGTCATTAGTTATGCGATAAGCATCCTGATATTCTTAACACGGATGTTTGGGTTACCATCGGATTTACGTATGATGCAAGTAAACGAAAGTATTGTCCAATAAAACGTGAGAGTGGATTATGTCTGGCGTGTACAGAGCAATTAGAACCCAAGATAAATGTGTTCTTCTTCAAATGTAAAGCACCAACATCTTTTGATTGGATGACTGGCAACAAGTTATTGGATTCATTTATTATAGAGTCGTGGAGTAATACAAAGAACGTTTATGATGCGTATATACAATGGATTGAATATCTCCGACTGATAGATGTACGAGCAATGGAATCATTACGCCATGGATGCACATTTGTAGCAAAGTGGTTAGATCCGGCAATAAATAAATGGACATTAGTGACACTCAAGCAGATAAGTGATACTCAGTCGCTTGACTTTTATCAGGTAAATAATTTTACGTGTAAACAATGCAAATAAGTGGCCTCATGATTAAATCGACAGCCTTTATTTGCTCAACATCAAATAGCTGACTGAAGAATATCCGGAAATAGTAACGCCTGATAATGTTTGGATTATCGATATAATAATAACTCAAATAATATCCACTCAACAATACTATTTGGTGTTCTACCGCGACGTAGGCAAAGTAGACAAATTTATTCGAACTGAAGTAATGTATATACCGTGCGCCACTTTTACTGGAATTAAGGAAATTGGGTCTGGTGGTTATGGAACAGTCTATTCTGCCAAGTATGATGATAAGTATTTAGGCGCACCAGAAACTGTTGTATTCAAACGCTTTAAGGGTTACGATGAAACACCAAAATTATTTATTAATGAGTAAGCAATGATAGGTTGTATTAATTAAGGTGATATTTTAATCTGACTCTGTATCCATATATTTATTCAATAGTTCAGAAATCATGCCAAGTGCATAAACAATCGTTATTGTCCTTAAAATTCATGGAGTCACACAAGACCCAGAAACAAAAGAGTACATGATTGTTATGCAATATGCTAACAATGGTAGTCTTTTGTCTTGTTTGAATCAAAATATTAACAATTTGACGTGGAGGAATAAATTGCGGTATTTGTATTATATTGCAGATTATCTGCATAAAATCCATAGTGAAGGATTAGTGCATTGCGATCTTCATGGCGGAAACATTGTTATGCATAATGAGAATCTGTCCGCGATAGGTTTACAACTGAGTATGCCATTCATATGCGATCTTAGTCTCTCACGATCAGTGTATTCGCGGAAGTCGAATTCAGAAAACCTTCGAGGCGTTTTACCTTTTATTGCACCGAAAGTCTTTCATACCTGCAAGTTTACTCAGAAATCAGATGTGTATTCTTTTGGCATTATTATGTATTTGATGGCTACCGGTGAACCACCGTTTAGAGATAGGCAATTCGATAAATATTTAGTATGCGATATTTTGGGTGGACTGCGACCGCTGATGCCTAGTTTAGCACCAATAGGGTACAAAAAACTAGCTGAGATGTGTTGTAATGCTGATACTGATAAGCGTCCAGATACGGACAAACTCCGCCGGTTGATTCATGACGTGCGATATGATGATGACGCGTGGCATACCATCTATTATAATGATGTAAAACCGTTATTATGTCTCGAGAAGGAGAATAAATACTCTATAAGTTGTTACCTACAGGAGACTTTCCTATACCAAGAAACAGTTACATTCGGGATTCAGCTGCAGGTATGATGACAATTAGGTGTTGATTAACCTAAACAAATATTAACAGAGTTTTTATCTTGTGATCTAGTGACTCAGAATTTTGAATAACGTGTGACCATCTCTATATCAGATATTATTATTAAAACAGTGTTTATTTTATTTAATAATTTTTTTCTAAATTTATGCAATATATTAATAAGGGGTAATTTTATTATTATGGGGTTTGGACGTATTAGTATAGCAAAAGTGTTATTATATGATGAGCAGAGAATAACTTTATTATTAACACTTACGTTAAACGATAAAATGTATTTATGCATCGTTATCTCCATTACGGAAACATAGTTTTGCATGAGATAATTTATCAAGGTGTTTAACTCAACTGCATCGCATCGGAAATATTACTCAGAAATCGGACACATATTTTACGTGTCCACCACTGAATTACCTTTACATAAAAACTTACTCGATTGCTGATCTTAATAAACGCCCAAATGTATCAATATTAGTATACATAATCTTATTCCCAAGGTGTACAATTTATTATAGTAAAACCCTTAAGACAAGTACATATTTTTACGTTAGGAGATTTGCCTCAATCAAGAAATAGTCACTAGTTACCGCCCATATACACATGCAGTTTGCCAAGTTTATAAATAAAGATTGGACAAAAAGTTTGGTGGAAAAATTTGATGCAGTGGCTAATATTAGTATAAAGACAATAACTGGTTTCATGTTGATTTTGTGAAAGTCAACTTTTATGATTGAATAAAACTTGTGTTTTCACAGTTTATTGATAATTTGTACGAGTTTTCATCCAAAGTTTATTCCTCTTCCGATTAGTCAATATGTGAATCGTGTTTGGTAAATAAGATAAAAATTAATTACCGTAAACTCTCATGAATAAGAGCCCACCATGAATAAGGGCCCCCCTATATAAAAGTGGTGATCATGTGATAAGATCTGTAATGGTTTGAAAACGGTTAACCCCCCTACCCCCCTCATCACCCACTTTATTATCAACCAATAACGCCATATATGATATATGCAGCTCATGATTATGTAATAAACGAAAATAACGCGGGCAACTGTTACGTGACGATGGGTGGCTTAAAAACAATGCAAAATGATCTACAACCAACCCATCCATGAATAAGAGCCCCCTTATATGATGAAGGGGGGCCCTTATTCATGAGAGTTTACGGTAATTTATTTTGTGAATTATTCGTGTCTAACCGCGAGGCGACCATTATTGATATTAGAAATGGGTGGCCACTTTTTTTTTCGAAAACACATCAAATTGTACGTAGTACGTACGTACAATTGAGGTTTTCAAATAAAAGTTTTGACTATTGCGTTATTCGTAAATATTAATGCGCCAGTATGTGTAGTCATGATACAGTACAGCGCAGCATTTGTAAGTTTAGACACGTTTATTGTACTTTGGCAGTGTGTGCGCAATAAAAGTAATCGTTAGGTTTTTTTGAAAATTTTTTATTCGATAACGACATTGAGTGTGATCACTAAATTTGAAAGCACAACATAAAATTTACTGCTTCAGTTTGAACGCCCCTATTAAAAGAGTCTCACAATGCTATATTGTTTGTGAACGAAGTAACGTAAGTTATTGATAAGCGTACTGTAATTATAAATAGCTTAATATTAACTGAATATAAATTAAGACATAAACTTGGATATTTCTTGCTCCGCTCGTATATTATGCCCACTTGCAAAAAATAATCCGCGCCCATACTTGATCGTCAATGAAGTCTCGTTCAAAATGCATCTGCCCGGGATCGAACCGGGGACCTTGTGCGTGTGAAGCACACGTGATAACCACTACACCACAGATGCTGACAACGCAAAGTAAATGTCCTTTTTTCATCTAAAAGCTTTAGTGAGGAAAACCGAGCAATAATTTCGCATTAAACACTTAATTCGAATACAAACTCAGACATATTACTTATCAACAGGTGAAAGACGTTCGCCTCTACACTGACAATATAACCAAGAAATATATTTCTTTTATTAACAATCACAAATGTAACTTTTTTGACTACTGTACATCCATAACAACGACATAGCTTTAATTCCAAGACACTTCTTCATTCTCATCATCTTTCCCCCCCCGCTTCTCCTCTCTGTGCAAACCATCTGCTAGCTGCATTATCAGTTTTTTCAACCAGCAACAACATGGCTTTAACAAAGTCAACAAGTTTCGCTAGATGAGGGTCTGGTCCTAATATACTTTCAACAGTCCAATTAGGAAGCTGACCAGGGCACTTGTAGACATTTTCTTTAAAACTGCCGTCATTTTCGGCATTCGTAATCTGCAACAAATGAACAGACAAGTCAATGAATATATTCCGTGTAACCGTTGTATTTTACATTGAAAACGTTGGACTATAAAACAAACGCATTTCGAGTGATGACTAACCTCGAGGGTGTAATGCACTTTGCCTTCACCAGTTCTACACAATCTTTTATTCGTGAGCTGATCGTCAATAGGTATTTTTTCTATTCGAGAAAACTCGGCCTTAAAAGGCTTGTGCAGCTTAAATATTTGCGTTGTTCGTCTGTGAATCGATTTGACATAAAGCTTGTCCGGAACGTCTTCGAATGAAATTCGAGTTTTGTTTGGTGTTACAGACACCTTTTTCATAAATGTGTTGAATGGTTGGATATTAGTGCGAATGTGCCGACGTCTAGTTACGCTGAACTGAAAATCGAATTTGCTGTGTATGTGTGAGAGAGATTATAGATAATAAACAGTTGTTAAAAAGCTGTGCTAAAAGGGGGGGGGACTCGCAAGTTTTGGATATATTATAATTACCGATCGAGAACATTCCAGTTGACGTCCGCTATATGTTCCCATGGGCATACTACTTTATCAAGCAGTACATTTACTGCGTCCACCAACAAAACTACGTTCTCGAAATCGTCTTGTACAGCATTACGAGCTTTCGCGTAAATTTCAAAATATTCCACACGCAACACTGATTCTTCGCCGCATACTTCACCGAGGTATTCGACCAATTTATGGTCATCGTCATACGCTGCACTATTAGAATACATGGATTAGGCTTTGTGACATTACTTTGGTTTAAGCAGGTGCTAGAACACGTAAGCATTAGGTATCATTCCTTTTCGCCCACTTACACGTCATGAAACATATGTGTCATCCCCATCTGATTCTCCAAGTCGCTCAATTCAACGTAATCCCAGTATCCATCTTCTACGTGCCGAGGAACTTTCTGAAATACAGTTTTTCCCAGACTAAAGTTGTGCAATTGAAGAGTGAGTAATTATAATTACTGATGTAAAAATCGTTGGCAACGTTCGACAATACATGGACATATAGTTACCTTCCGAAAAAACGAATTTCCCCTTTCAAGGGGCGAACATAGTCTAGCCTGTAGTGATAACGAAAATTTAATTATAATTCCGTTTATAATTACAATATTGTCATCAAGTGACACTTACGCCTCGCAAAATACGTTTTTCATCTGATTAAAGTTATATTCTTTGAGTCTAATCATTCAAAACAAAAAAAGAAAGTAATTGTGTATTAGGTTAATTGGCCTTCGTTACATAAAACCACACAAATTAAATCAAATATATATGTACATTCGGCCAGGGTTAAGATCATCCCTGGAACCTCCACTGGTAGTCTTTTCGTAGACTATATCCCTTAAAGTCTTCCTCATGGAGGTGCTGGAGGCATCAGTCAACCTCTCGTCCAGTGGATCAGCTGGAATCCTGGTCTCGTAATTATTACGCGGCAAAAAGCTGTCGTCAAAGCTGTCGTCATCGGGCAGCCGTCTGGAACTACGGGGTACAACGCCATATTCATCTTCAGGCATGCCACGAGCCCTCATTTGTCTCATAGAAGCTAATTGCTGTTTCTTGGCCTCTTTCCGAGCCATCCTTTGCTCGGTCGTCGGACGAACCCAGGTATTGTATTCACCATCGTGACGAAAGGGTGATTTGGGAGATGCCGGTGATTTAGGAGATGCCGGTGATTTAGGAGGTGCCGACGATTGAGGAAGTGAGAAAGGACGGACAGACGATTTAGAAGGAACCGGTGGTCTCGAAGAGGAAGCTTTACCGCTCCACGGTCTTGACGGTTTTCTTAAACTTTGTGTTAAAACGTACTGTCCAGTGGACGGATGTCTGACAGCTGCTACTAAGAGGAAGGGATCTCTTCCTACGTGCCTGATCACTTCTCTGAAATATTCGTGATTTCTAAGTGGAACGAAAGTAACCGTGAACCGAACGCTAGCATCAGGATAATGTACGAGCGACTTCTCAAGATGTTTAAGACGAGGGCGAAGCTAGATAATTTTAAAATGCCATATTATGTTACAATCTATGTATTATTGCTACATATGTAATAATAGCAAAATTAATATTACCTCAAGCATTTCCAGCACTCTAAGTCTTTCCATGGCTGTTTCGATTGCGCATCTCTTGCCGCTAGTCATTTCAATCATCTGAAAAAATTAATATTAAATGACTTGGGTTAATCAAATTGATGAGCAAGTGTTGACAAATTAATGCATACACAAAGCCGAACTTGCAAAGGCTAGCCAATCTATTGTTATCCATCCACGTATCTCAACTACAACACCGATAATATCACCCTTACCCGTCTATCTAAATTTAAATCGCCAGTGATCTTCAAATGCGAGCATATTTCTTCCCAGTTATCATTCGCCCCGTAAAACTCTCTCTTGGGCATGCCAAGAACGGCTTCAATGTTCACAATGCGATCATCAAATCGGAAATTATCATATGAATCCTCTTCTTCTATCTCCCATGGCACCTCCCCTTCGACACTGTTTGTGTTAGCAAAGTATGAAACTTCATCCGCGTGAAGCTGTGGTGGTTGCAGTCGTGTGACTGGCGTGTCTTCCACTCGCGAAGGTCTTTTCGTTCTCTCTGGTATTATATAACTTATCGATGCTTCTTTTGACTGTCGGAGGTGTTTTGAAAGGGAAAATTAACAGACAATGATATAAGTAATGGGAAACAAACATTTGCATATATCAGTCTCTTTCATACCTTTGATACCAACAATCTTAACAATTCATCTCGTCTAAATATATGCGACAAATCAAGTGTTAGTGAAAATTGATATTATGAATCGTACAATGTGAGTATATTTAAACCTACGCTTTTTCCGTGCTTTCTTGTTCATAGCCTTTCACTTCAAAATACTAGAAATCAAAAAACGTAGAAAGAAATTGTTAAATACAGTCTATTATTGACACAAGTCAAATTTCAAACCGACCTGCTTTCGACTAATGAAAACGATTTCAACGTGAAATTCTTGTTCCAACGCTCTGTTAACGCGAAACGTAATAAGCAAAAAGTCACGATATTTACGCGTCCCGTTCGCGCGCGTCTATCAAATATCTCACCGAAAATTCGTCCTGAGTTTTTCTATTAGTTCGTCACTCCATACCCAGACGGTGTGTATGATTAGCGTAATGCCGGGTCTGTCTGTTCGTTGGTGGTCGAACGAGTCTCAGTAATGTTATCGAATCATCAACACTTGAATAATCAAACAAACGTGATAGAGTCCAACACATGCCTACTTCGGTGTTCATTGTGAGTGCTTGTTAGTTTGTTCGTTGTCTCAAAGCAGGATAAGTGAAATCTGTCGCTCACACCCCTTTTTTTTTTTCGCTGGCCGATTATAAAGGTGGTGGCGATGACATAAATCATATGATCAAATTATTATATAGACCAATAATATTGCGACAGATATGCGATAGCAGCGATAAGGTTTGTAAAGGTGACTAGTATAGTGTTTGTACTATCATCATGTGCTACAGAAGTGTCGATGTGGGTAAAGCTAATCGATTAAATATCATATAATATCGATAAACAATTTACTAAGTATTGGCAAGAACGAAAACTTAGTTGCTGTTCGCAAACATTATCGCTATACTAGATTTAATAAAACGAAGATAATGCTGCTATCGCTAAAATATGTGCACCAGAATGTGTGAGCGATGCTCGCTAGAATATACTCACTTTCAAACACACAAGTACAATAATAATGTTCGTCATTTCCCAGATGGCTTGTCTGCCGCAACAAATCATAACAGGGTTTAATGACAAGTATTATACGGTTGCTAATATGACTTTATGATCTCTGTGGATTCTGCGAATACTCCGATGTAGTCTCGTGTGGTATTATTACGTACTTGATTGCTACTGGCGAACTGCCTTTTAGGGATAGAGATTCACCAGGGACTTGGCATGTGATATGAATTGATTACGATCATCGATGTCAGATTCTGCACCAGATCGATGTTGTGACGGACGCTAATCCCGATATGTGCCCAGATGCA